GGGCTGCAGAGTTTGGGAAAGTGGACATCGTTAAGTACCTATTGAAGGTGGGTGCCGACCCTCTGAAGCTGGATACCAAAGGAAAAACACCACGATATTGGGCCGAGACATATAACTTCACAGAAGTGGCTCTCGTTCTCAAAGAAGCAGAGGAGCGGTAGTCTCATGGCAAAAATGTTTCACACTGGAGATGGGCTATGCGGATATCCCACCCGAATCATAATCATATTCACTTCACATTGAGTCAAGAACCCACATCTTATCGACCGAACGATAGCTGTAACTCGACACCTCACTAGAACTCCAGTTCCCTGAGGACAAGGACAAGACATAGTTGGCGGTGGCACCATACAAGGTTACCTGTGGTCAGACCTCGGAACTGGACGCGACTTGGAGATCATCAAGGATATAACGTGCCTCCCTGCGTAGCGCGACACAGATATCTTTTTTTTTTAAAGCAGCTCCCATAGGAGCCTTAAGGCCGCGTTTCTTACTCTACTGGGAGGTTTTGAGAGTTTGTTTGAGTCGTTGATGAGTCTCGCGAACAGCTGCCCTGTAGGCCTGTTCAGCAGCTCAATCAGCTTTCTCCTTCTCGCTCGATATCCTAGTCTCAACCTTTGCCTGACGCCTCGCTTGAATCGCCTCAGTCTTAGCCAGCTCTTCTCTCAGCATATCGTCTATGTGTTTGCGGTGCTCCGTCGAGTTCGCGAAGCTGTCACGCTCTCAGTGCCAAGTGTAGCGACAAGCTCTAGCTCAACTCGCTCAAGCCTTTAGCTGTACGACTGAGGGCGCCATAAAGGAACTCTAGACTCACTAACAAACAATAGACAAGAATATTGCGGAGCACCACATGGCATGCTTCGGAGCCTTGGGAACCACGCTAGATCGCTGCGCCAACGAATTCGTGTCAGCGCTGGCGATCATTTTAAGATTTATAACATATGACAACAGTCAGTAGCATGTTAAGTCTTACCCATCATGATGTCGCAAAGCTACAATCACTGATTAAATGGTTCCTACTCGGTTTCAGCCGCGATGTCCACAGTGTACGCCTTTCTTGTATCTGTAATTGGCTGCGTCGGGTCGGATGCTGTGGATCAACGGTTGTATTGCTATCTGTTGTCGTTTTGTAACTGTGTACAAGAGCTCTCGGCTCAGAGGTAAGTGCACTTGCCCACCGGGCAGTGCCTGCTACAACAGGATATCATGTGACTCCAGCCACGTGATTACATCTCTAGCCCTCCATATGTTACAGCACTAACGGTAGAAGTATTCCAACTCAACCTTGCGCAAACGTCTACCATCGTCTAAAAGTGGATCATTCTTAAGGTAGACGTAAGCCTTTCAACTCAGCTTAACCAAGCTCCTCTAACGTGGTTTCATAAGTGAGCGCCCCACCAAACACCAGCGCAGCGCAATACTACAACAGATTGCTATACTATACGTAACAGAGTAGTACTAGTTCAAAGCGTCACTGTTATTCACCTCAATTTCTATCTTACAGGTGCGGGAGTCATGTCCAACCTCGCTGCAACGGCCGCCCGACATCTTGTGAAGCTTGCTTGTTAATTAGACAATTTCGACAGAAAAACGCTCGGCCTTTGTAGCGGTGTCAACATGATCAGAGTTCTCTAGTCCACTATCATCTCTAGAGCTAAACCGATACCTGTGTAATCCGATATGCGCGTCTCCCGGAGGTGGTTGCGGCGTCATGTCGTGTATGGTGGCTGAACCACTTAGTGGAGACTGTCGGTGGCTAGTGAGGCGCTTGGCTGTATTGTGAACACTTGCATCACCAGCTCTACCCAAACAACACAAGCACAAACACTGACCTCATCAAGAACCAAGTTGCCACAGTATTTGCGCGACGTTGAGCGGCCCTGCATCTGCAAGCTCACAATATCGCACGTGCTGGCAGGGTCACTGTAGTGGCTTGGCATACCCGTGGGCACAACCGTGTTGCTTGGTCAACCATACGACCTCCTCACCTTCGATCGTCGGAAACTCGTACACTCTCAACGACAAGATGGCCATGCCGTACGCTCGCCCTCCCGCCCCGCCGCTCTCACTACCCAAGATACCGCGGCGACATCACACCCTCTTCCGCTACCCTGGCTACGACAACAGCAACAACGTGCTCTTCAAACTTTATGCCATCGACGCGACGACGGATGGCGCCCACAACGGCGAGAAGGGGGCTTCTTAGCAGCTCGGAACTGCAGGTGTCTATGCGCAATTCGCACTCGATGCCTGCGCAATGATCGCAGGCAATCGGTTCAACGGCTGGCTTTCGACATCACGCAACCCCAACGAAGCACGCGACACCCGCGTCGATGCCGGCAGCACATTGGTAGCACGCAGCCATTACTATCACCTCGACCACGACGAAGATATCGATGGATCTGAAGGACCGTATCGCATCGTCCCCAATTTCCGCGAATGGCGTTTTCCGCACGGAAAAATCCCTACGCATTGGGAGCAGCTTTGAGAAAACCCGACATCCCAAGAGTCGACCACTACACGCTCCAACCTCACACTGGCCTTGAGACTGCGCGATGCCACCTATCGTATAAGTGGTTGTCAAGAAGGACTGCAGGTTGCGCATATTGTACCACAGGCTGAACTGGACTGGTGGATGGCCAACAGCATATCTCCCTACAATCGCAGTTTGACCAACAGCATAGACGATACGGGCAATGCGATGCTCTTGCGAGCTGACCTTCACATTGCCTTTGACAAGCCCCGGTTCGTCTTTGTGCCAAAGCCATCGGGTGACAACGGTGTGATGCGGTTAGTCCTCCATCTGCTCGAGCCTTCAGCAGAGCTCGAGCACCTCTACCACAACCGTGAGCTGCACCCGTCAGACGTTGGCGGGGAGACGCTTTTCGCGCGCTTCGCATGGACGCTGTTCCCACTGCTGGAAGCTTTCCTCTCGTGTAAAGAGGACCGCCGCTTGACTGTTCGCACCACCGATCACGACCAGATCCTCGATCGTGGATACTTTCCAGCCGCCGCCTGTGATCGGTTCTCCACTTTGTCAGGTAGGACGCGGTCGAAAAGCCCGAAAAAGCGCAAACTGGATGAGGGCGTGGTAGACAGCAATAGTGCTGACGATGTTGATGCCAGCAAGCACATCCAACCTCCAGATCACACAAACAGATCTGCCTCTGCACCGAATCTCCGGAAACGATCGATCGGATGCAAAGATCACGAACCCCCTACGTCGTGGCGAACGCCCGGAAACAATAAACGGCAGAAATCGTCATCCATTCCCGAACAATCGTCATTCTCATCCACGGTATGACTAATATCGTTGACCGAATGCTCTGCCCACTCCGGTGACGATGCCGAAGGATCATGCATGACTGTATCTCATGACTCACCATTAGCACTAAAATACCTGGAGGAAGAACGCAAGCGCTCCGATTCAAAACAGACTTGGACAAAGGAAATGTGCTGGGTAAAACGAGTGTGGGCTGGCAGGACGATGGCCAGCCATGAAGTTCCGCGGTTTTGGGATCTGAGTGGACACGAAGTGAGGTATACAGACGATGGCTTGTTAGCAGGAGCTGAGCCGGCTGAGTAGACAGACTACACCTGTCGGACAATCGGCTTGCGAGCACTTCCGCGGTGTATTTTGCTTGTGCTATTATTACGCTTCTGGGAACCATCGTTAGAAGGGCGCTAGTAGTTTGATTGTTCACAAGATACCCATGAATTCTTCTTCTTAATGTACTCTATACGTATTGGACGTGACTGCGCTGATCGTCGAACAATTAATATCATGTTGCGTACCGCTTGAAACCAGACACTCCTTTCGTATTGCAGTCTTCCAAGAACATGTAGAGTGCTTGGATTGGTAGCGTACAAACAATCGAGCTGAGTAAGCACTTTTAGCTAATCTCGATTTCCACACTGTGACGACAGTGGAAGGAAGTCAGTAAGAAGACCCTCGAGTAAAAGCATTGGAGACCATGCTGATA